ACGCGTCCGGTCTCCCGAAGTTTTGCCAGGACCGAAGGCATATCATCTGCTACATTAAAACCCAACCATTAGGCACCTACTCAACATAGCCGGTCGACACTTCCGGCGGTAGTTGTGTATATCCTTAGTTGTAAGAATCTTTCCGAATTCATCCGCCACAAACTGCCGCACCTCAGATGACGGCGTTCCATATCTCAGCAGGGCCTGGCATGTGCGCAACTCGTTTTCGGTTAAGCATCGATTGACTGGAAGCCGATCGTAAAGAAACTTTGACAGTTTGTGGTTGTGTTCCAGAAAATAAGAGGTCACTGCCAGTTGGTTCCTTTGCCTCCGTATTCATTCAAGTATTCATTTAAGGTCTCCTCAAATGCCGTGAAGGATGAAAACGACACACCCACAAATTTCTCAACGAAAACCACTTCCGAGGCCATAGCAGACGAAGTTCAATCCGAATGTGCGCCAATAATTTTCAAATGACATCGATTAAAACAAATCGCAAAAAAATGAAGGCAGATGAGGGGGGTTTTCAGTCTACGCATATATGCAAAGAAGTGCAACATTTTGACGTTAAAGTTTTTATTTCGTCCGCAGGGGTTTTGCAGAAAAATACATTGTGCGTCTAGGCGCTGGCGTTCTACACCGCAGCCATCATTGGGTATCGATCACGTGACACGGTCCAGCCAATCATTTGCTTGGGTTTTTACGAAATGGCTGGGCTCTCATTAGTCAACGATTCGCCTTCGGAATTACCTTCGAGTTTGTCATTAACCCTCGTTCTGCGTTCTGTATCTGCCCGTCGAATGGGCCCTTTATGTGGTCCCCGTTCCGGCCTCATTGTTACTCCGGAGCCTGTAGTGTGCATTCGAGCTTCGTGTATTTGAAGTTCGGTTACTGCTGATGATCAGGCTTCTTAGCTAAAGGTTTCATCGTGGACCATAATCGTCCTTCTATTCATGTTTGAGCGTTTTGACATCACATCCCACATAAATCTTTGTACATGGACTGGGTTGCTGTCATGGTACCGTGATTCCTACAACTACAATAATGCTGTTCGGCACCGGCCATCGTGTGGTCATCACCCAGGTCTCCCTATACGGTTCTCTGCCGTGTAAATTAGTGCATGGTGAACGACAGCCACTGACCGACAAGAACAAAACCGACCCGGGAAACTTGGGCAAAAGCCTCGATCCTGTGTATCACTCCGTGAATCCGTGAATCCGTGCTGCATATGCAAGGGCGTGCTAATGGCAACAGTCTACTGCTGATGCCTTTTCTGCCTTTCTGTGTTCAGGCAAGCTTCGAAATATGGTACCTGATTCCATCTTTCGATGCCATAGCTTTCAGGCTCATGTCACACTATTCTACATTTTTCGCTTACCCTTTCTGAAGCTAGAAATGATTGGATTTGCTTTATTCTTTGAGCCCTTATTGACTCCGTATAGAATCAGTGCGTTCTGTCAGGTAAGTGAACAGATTCTCTGAAGACGGCTAGGTAATAACCATCCCGTCCTGATGTACTCTCTCAAGCCTGACCACCACATGTAGTTTGGGGCTCTATATAGTTGTAGGGGTGCTTCAGTGCAGCCGAGGCTTTTCAATACTCTGAATACGTTGCACTGCAATGCTACCGATTCAGAGCCTAAAGCCTCTGAGAGGAGCGATTAAATGGCTGACCTCATCACTCAACTCTGTCTGAACCTCTTACTTGACCACCGCCTTATTTCTGCGTCCAATTAGATCGTTAAATAGCCTTCAGGATTCTTTTCGTTTAGGATTTCTGGTAGAATCAAAATCCTTGAAAACTTTTGAAGCGCGCCATCCAGATGTGTCCATCTTGGGCGTCCTTAGGGTCTAGACCAAGCACGCCTACTGGGTGAAAGTTCAACTGATCATCATTCCCAGCCGACCACATGGTATGGCAGAAATTATTCGTCGTCCTATTGTTCTGCCTCAGTCCACCGTTCCTTTTATTGTTGCTGTGGATCTATTCCGCGGTTAAAATCCTAGTTTCCACCGAAGTAGACCGGAGTTCATCAGAATACAGAATAGCTGAACAACGGCCAGCTAGTATTCCGACTGCTTACCAACCAGAATGGTTCGATCTTGCCCTACCGGCACACGCAGTCCAAACTAACCGAGTTTTCCAGGTATACGACGGTTATATAACCGTCAAATAACCACCTTTTATGGTTAACAAGTGCTTATTTGAACCGTCAAATAACCGTGTTTTGCGGCTATTGCTCGGTTAAATAGCCGTCAAATAACCACGTTTTCCGGCAATTGAACGTTTAAATAACCGTGTTTCCCGGTGGTTGGACGATTAAATGATCGTCATTAGATCATATTTCAACGGTGAATAATGGTAAAGTCACCACCATATTACCGTAAATAGCTGTTATTAGACCTATTCTACCGCGTTATTACGGCTCAACACCGTATACGTAACCACGCATTCAAACACACGGGGTACGTGGAGTTTCGTGGCAAACATATTTCACCGACCTTCCGTTGGCCCAATGCACACTCTTTGGGGGCTCTCTGGGTTGTTTTTATCGTTGATTGATAGGCCTCCTGGCTTCTCACTTATTTTCACTTCTGCTGCGGTAATGCATCATCCGTCGCGTTAGCTCTTTCTGCTGTGTATTTTACCTTGAAATCGTAACCATATGAAGCTATGTGCCATCTGAGTCCCAGAAAGCCCAGTGATTAAGGCACGTACTGATCGTGGTCCGAACCCAGCGTACGTATCTCATCCGCTCTTTTCTAGGCCTGGGTTAAATGACAGTAGCTCAGTCCCGCTTATTTATTCGATAGGAGTGTCAGTTGGACACCAAAGGGGTGCTACAGCTAAACACTTATGTTCCATCTGTTCAGGCATCCGTAGGGGTCTTGCAGAAGACATGCACTTTAGCGGACTGCGGAAAATTTCCATCTCCAGATGCATAATCTGAACTATCCTAAAGCTCAAATGATAGGCGAGTTCTCTTTATCGTGAAGTACTTTCGCTTGGCTGGATTTTGGACGCGGGAGGGAGAGGGAAGCACACTGCTATCACCGACTGTTCGTGCCTTTGTTCTAAGATCACTGCTACCGTTAGACCGAATGCATCACTTTTTAGATGAAATGGTTTTAACTAAACCCCGAAAAGCTAGTGTTCTGTTTTGAATGAAGACTGTTTTAAAAGCTTGAAGGCCTGTTGGCCTTTTTTCGTCCACTAATACTTGGCATCCTTTTACATATAATGTGTAATGTTACTGGCGGGTGAGTCAAGTCTGCAATATGATGATGGCAACGTCGCACTAGTCCGAAGCACATCTTCATTGTCTTAACCACTTTAGGTTATCCCCTATGGTCCTGAGCTTCCCGTGAGCAATCGAGATTTTCTTGTTCAGTCGATTTTGTTCCACATAACTAACTTTGGGTGCGGACAGCTTTCGTTGATCTGGTTTGGCTTGGAACACAGCCTAGCATAGCACTTGAAGTACTGACTCCAAGTGTTTCTCACGTTTGTGATTATCTCATGAGAAGACTGGGGCATCCTTCATCTATACTAACATAAAATATGTCTTTAGGTTCCCAGATATTTCCTTTATCGTCCTTTGAAAAGTAGCTGGTGATGCCCTCCTAAACTCATATAGTCCAAATAATTTGTCGAAGCCGTTTTATGTGTGTTGCTGTCCACCATTCGAACTTGCCAGTGGCCTGAGTATGTAGAATTTTTAAAACGTCCTGGCTTTGCAAATTTTTTGGACGGCTTTGACCGGCCCCGATCTTGGGCGTGCATCGGCTCCAAGTACCTCATCTGGTGACCGATAGTCTACACAGACCCGATGCGAACCATCCTTTGTGTCTTAATAATACTGATGCTGCGGAATTGCTACAACCCTGTCGAGTCAGCATCCTCACCAACAGGTTTTTAGGTGAACAACTGGTTCGAACAGTACAGACATATAAGCGACCCTGATTGATGTCTGTGTTGTCCGTATGTTTTACTTAGATGTCCTCTTTAGCTACGTTTGCATACTTCCCTACCGTCTGTTCCATACCCGTTCTCCACTTCGATAAATTGGCCACACCTGTGCGATTGGTTGGTCTCCGCGAACTGCTGGGTCAGTGACGTTGGTTTGACTCTGTTTTACGTCAGATGCCTAGCCCGCCTAATAATTTCCACGGCATTCATACTCTTACTCTGAATGCGCTGAGAACGCTCCTCCCACCTGGATTAATGTGGTGCGACCAGCCCAAAATTCTATCTCCTCCACGGTCGTTCTAACAACTTTTTCGTTGCCTTTAGTCGTCGACTCCTCCCAGGAGACGTTGCTAGTCCATTATCAGTTTGATGGACCCTGGGACCCACCAATTCACCGTCATTGTCAGCAATCCAGAGGAAGAACGCTGGTCCTTAATTGCCTTTCAACCATGCCAATTTGTTTGAATAATGGAGAAAAGAAATGGTATTAAGGAGGATGGCTTAGAGCTAGCCTGTCATAAACACCCAACTTGCCTACACCTCCAACACTCATTTGGACAGTCTGAATAAAAACTGACGGCGTGAACGCCCCTTACATTTATCAATCGCCATCCACTTCGGTGTCCGAAGCTAAGCACAAAGAGGGTCACGTGTGCCCCACCCTGGAGGGCAAACAACACTAGTAGCAACCAGAATTCTCGTAACCTTCATTCCTTTCTGTTATATCATACTGTGTTCATCATCATCGTGGGCAGAATGAAATAAGTGTTCAACGCTGATGCTTCGCTACCGTACAACCATGATTTATTTGAAAGCCTTATTGTGAAGAAATGAATAAAGGTGGACAGCGAAGCTTACTACAATCATTCCCAGGTGGTTGCACCTCCAGACACTCATTCAGGCAATCTGGATAGAGGCTGGTAATAAGAGCACCACTAACATCGATCAGCAGCCATGTCTTGCAACGTCTCCAACCAGGCGCAGTGAGGATCACGTGGTTCACATCCTGACAGCACCCAAACGTCTCGTAACATCCTTCATACACCGATGCCAGACCAAGGGTTGGCCACTTCTGTGCTCCGCTACTCTGAATAGGGCACGGAAAATAGCACTGTATTCGGCAAACGATGGTTCGGCATACGTAGTACATGGCCTAACCTATGCATCTTCTGATGTTCGACACATCTTTCAGTGGAAGTCCCCGTTGCACAACTGAAAACCCGCTTTCTAATTGCCTCGTTACGGATTCGCCGACACAAACCCACACGAGATATGGTTCTGTGAAAGCGATTGTCGCCAACTTGAGGATTACGCAGAACTCCGCCCACCGATTAATGTGTGGCTCCTAATACGGCTCCGCACGTCCATCCTTGGGTAAGCTGAAAGGGTCCTATCTGCATATGGGTACCGTACTGCGAGCTTGGTCGAATTACAGCCAGTCAGATGGTCCCTGATTGTTTCATTGACAAGAGGTTTCCGAAGACCAGTCGAACGAATCAACTGGAACAATTTGCGCACGTTTCCAGCATTCTTTGCATCACGGTACAGCAGCAGGTACTGCAGCACGGTACTGAACTTTGGTCGCGCTAGAACCACTGTCCGCATCAACAGGGTCGACCTTTCTCACTTGGCTAGACTATAAATGTGCGCTAGTTATCAGAATGATTTGACTTGTGTGCATCTAACCAAGTCGGTAAACTTTGGATTAAATGTTTTACTGATTACATTCAGTAGGTGTCTCTTGGTACGACTAGGTATCGCGCCAAGAGGTTCATGATGGGAAGTTGGCCTGATCTCTCAGCCCAAACCACGTGCCAAACCGCGTATTCATGAATATAAGAAAACCCACAATCATTCGAAGTTCATCCGCATATGTGAACAAGATGGTGAACTAGGATAAACTGGATGTGTATCAAAGAAGGCGGCTGTGAAAATTTGCAGGAGGTGTTCCAGTAAAATGGGGCATCTTGGTGGTAATGAGGGCTAGGATAGAACGCGAATTTACTGACCAGGAGGTCCGTGGTTCAAACTCGACCTCTGCATTTCGACTCCTGTCTAGGTTTGGACAACCTGACATTATACCAGCCCTCGTGCTTCCTTCGGATGGCCCGGCAGCTACTCACCGAAAGTTTGGTCCTGTATTCTCTTACTATTTAATAATGGAGGTGGACTATTAACTACCTTACCGGGGTCACAATACCTTAAAATGCACGGGAAACGGATATAGATGATGTCCTGCATCCGGTGCTGCTACCGAAGACAATCCTTGTATGGGTCTCCACCGTTGTCATATCTGTCACCAAAGGAGCAACGTCCGGGCTGTAATAGATACCGCGGCTTAAGTCTGCTCATCCTTGCTTCTAAATTACTTGCACTTATCATCCTACGATCTTATTCTGGTGATACCTTCAACGCTGATGATGGCGATGACTTTGCTAGTGAGAGAACACTAACTTTTGCCCTGGATACTTTATACCTACACGAGACCGATTTTTCCAGTTTTCTTAGGCGGTAGGAGTACTCTTGATATCTGAGACAATGCGATCATTTGGAACCGCTCGCTGGCCAACAGAGTTTCTGGATGGTTTGCCAGTGTAATGAAATCCTTGGATTCTCATTTTTTACAGGTACTTATGTATGTGATGATTTCTTGCTCTTTTGTCCAATCCCAACGGGGTTCTCACGGCTGCTCAGTCTCTTCGATTTTACCGTCGTTGACACTGAAGAATGTTTCTACAAATTAAACATGCGGCGACGTCGAAACACCGTCTGGACCTCATTTCAATGTCTGGGTTATCTATGAGCCCAAGATGTGTCTTCCAAATTGGTAATTTTCATTTCCAATTACGATCTCGAGTTAGCTCGGTGGTTAGGGCACAAAATCATTAAACGGAAGATCCGTGTTTCGAAATCGACCCCTGCGTCTCGGTTGCTCCTGTGTAGGTCCGGGCAACCTTGCGGTATCTCAGTCCTCATGCTTCCTTCGAGTGGCATGGCTGATAGGCGTAGCAGATGAACAATTTTTTATTAATTATTTATGCACAATTTTGAACTGAGTTTGCCTCGATAGAAATGTAAAGCCTCACTATTGGGTTGACCAATGCCCCACTCGGTCTTTCATTCGGTGGAGCGCATAGATTCATGCATCTGGAAAGTTCCCCTAGCACGAGATCACCCCTGGAGTCGATAAAACTATAGCGAAACCATGGACTAAAGTCAGTACTATTAAAAAAAGTAAGCTATCATTCGTCCAGTTTTCGGCAGCCAAGTCGCCGGAATCGCTAGTGCAGTTAACCAACATCCATGCAAAATGGGCTCTTAACACTTAACCTGCTGATACCAGATTAGTTAAATGAAAGTGCATGGTCTGTTCACTTCTCAAGTTTTACTCTCATTCACCTTTTAGGTAATCCTTTCTTTCCACTTACGACATCCTACCAGTTGTATTGACAGCATCCATTAATCCCATGGCCCGGCCTCCACCATACACACGAGTGGACGTCAAATCCCTTCTGAAAATTTTCAAAAGGTATTTGTATTTCAAATTCGTTCGTATTTACCTTAGTTCGGACAAAGATGGCAACGGGCGAATCGACGCAAATGAGCTCCAGTCCGCATTGAGCAACGGTAAGGACTCCATACTGAGGCTTGTTCAATAATTTTACGAGGGTGTGCTCGGCTACTAACCTGATTTGCTGCTTCTGCTGTTATGAAGCAGTCTGAGTTATTGTGCGAGGATTGTGAAAATTAGGAATCACCACAAGGTTGCAAAACATATCTCTGAAACGGTCCACTTGGTACGTCCTCACCAGTTGTTGAGACGTACTTGGCATTTTCATTGACGTTGACCACGGTTGCATAGCTAGGATCACGCCTAATAGCATACTCCGTCCCTGCACAAAACAACAACAGCTAGTTCTATGAGAAAGAGCGATAAAGCAAACGAATGAGGTTAACATGCGGTCACATAATAGAAACTATGGTAGTTTTAAGACTGACGGTTGACGAGTTACTAATGCCGTTGCGACTTCTTTGTTGGATGATAGTTGTGTCAGATGGACCTATAATTAGATTGTGAATAATTGCAATGACAATAAGTGTCGATATCATACCATTCGGCTAGAATTGTAGTGAGGGATTCAACTCTGAACAAGGCTCTCCAGAATCAAATGTTTGTTCTACATTGCTAAGTGTTCCGTGTGGTTCGGTCGAATCCTCATTCTAGGCTTTCATTTCAAGTTCACTCAGATGATTTCCCGATACGTATCTAGTTTTTTTCCCACCAGATGAAGTTAAGGAACCCATCAATTTTCTTTACTTCGTTCACATCCCATCAACTTCTCTCGGTTTCGAAATCTTGACAAACATATTTTCCTAAAATCGGAATTCATGTTCACGTGTGGATACTTGTTGAAATGGTCAGAAACATACAGAAAATATAGACCGTTTTGTTACTATTATGTTTGTCACAGCCCCGTTACCGCCGAATGGACCGCACCGTGCTACTGTCGTGCTAATCGACCCCCAGTGCAATTCACCCTATTGTTCTGTCGTATTTGATCCAGTAACAACTTTGAAGTCTGTTCCTTGGATCAAGCGAAACTGCGATTTTTAAGCACCCGTGACATGATTTTTCGGACTTTCACTAGTGTCCTAGGTAGTATCAATGTAATTAAAATTTCAAGAGCAAGATTATTGAGGGGTTCAAAAGATAACCAGACTCAATCATTTTGTGAAAGTTTGAGAAACAGTCTATAGCTAGAATTTCTATGATATTGTACTGAGATATAAGACATTAAGTGGTTGGTAACTGTTTTTGGGTGGCCTGCCACATCAGATCAACGGAGTCCCAAGCAGGGTAGTTAAGATCATACGCCATTTTGCGCAAAGTCCTATGTGGAACAGCATAAGCGCATTTTGCCCGTGGAGTAAGACCGAGGGCAAAAAATGGGTTATTTCTAGGGTCAGTAGCATTCATTACATTATAGATTATAAATCGCAAAATGTCAGTTCCAGCACCGCAATAGGTATAGCACCATAAAAATTGATTTTCGCAGGGATACGGAGCAGTGCGCTGTATATGTAACACACTATTTGTCTTCAGTCGTCTTTTGCGCTTGGTTTTTTACTACCAATTCTGGCGTTCTTGTTCAAGTGGCGATGGATAGCACTGACGCTGTTGAGCAGAATGTCATATGCGCAAATCTGCGACTCCCTTGGTGTGATGAATAGTTTTCAATCGAGTTGACTCACTCCGGCAATCCACATGGTTCTGTAAACACTTCGAAATTTAGAGCTTGAAAAGACTTAAATTCAATGTTCAACAATCCAGTGTTTATGGAAGTCTAGCCCCGGCAGTTATCAGTGGGTTGGGTTCTGCGAAAGAGTGGTATACATGAAGATCTGAAATTTAATGGTAAGAATGCTACATGGACTCGAGTAGGGCCAAACCCAATGAGAATACATTTACGTAAACATGACTCCTTGAGATGTAATGCCTGACAGACTCGGGTTTGTTCAGGTTGCATCCAAAAACCGATTTGGTGGCCGATTCACAAGTGTTACTGGAACCCTTGTGATACGTGGGGATGGCTTTGGCTTCCATATTCAAAGCATTTCGAATCATTTCAAAATGATATTTTCCGGTTACATGGGAAATAAGGTTTACCTTCGAGCACCGTTTGAACAAGTATTCCGAAGTATCTAGCACAATTGTTTTGTTCGAGTTGAGTTGTTCTCATCTCTATACCACTGACAAATAGGTTCGATAGGAAAGATCACCCTGGTAACATTGCCTTAGATCTATATCAATGTGGGAGATCCGATCATGAAACTAGGTATCTCTAGCTGGAAACAGATTATGTTAATATGAATTCAAGTCAGTTTGAAAACGTTTGGTTTTCCAGCGGACTTACGTTCCATAGTCTTCCTGACGTTTTCCATTGTCCAGAGATCGTACTTTGTGGGAGCTTGTCAGAATGATCACTACTAGGGTGGAACCATTGTACATCCCCATGCGCTTGGTCTGGGACGCTGCTAGTCAGTGTTAATGACCGCCTTGCTGTTAGTTTCTGTCCAAATCTACTGGGTGAAAATGGCTTTGGTAGGTAGCACATTCCGCATCCATACTCACCTTCCCACTCCGGAGCCTTTTGTTTGTAAATAAGACCTTTAGTCATACGGCAATTGAATCTCAGACTCCACACCAGATTCTCTCCACACCCATGGATATTCTTTCCTTTTCAGTTTTGTCGGCAATCTATGGGCTATGTTTCACCTTGCGTATTTCTTGCGGTCGCTTTCCATCATCCCACGATTTTGTTCCCCCTTCTATTGTGTGATCAGGATACATTCAAACCTCCTTTTATCTCTGCAGGTGTTCACTTACCGTTCAATATCAACACGGTAAGCATGATGATGAAGATGTTTGATCGAGACGGCAGTGGTGGCATCGAATTCAACGAATTTGCCGCGTTGTACGATTACGTATACAAGTGGAAAACTTGTTTCCAGCGCTACGACACCGACCGGTCAGGGGCGATCGACGCTCAAGAAATGCAAGTCGCACTACGCTCCTTCGGGTATGATTTGTCACACCCGTTCGTATGTCAGATGCTTCGACGGTTTGACAGAACCACTCGTGGTTGCATCGCGTTCGACGACTTTATTTATGCTTGCGTGTGCTTGCATGTAAGTAAAATGGTTTCGTGCTTGGATCCCGCGTATCCATCACATCCATCAGATTTAAGTACCATTAAAAACATACATGCGTATAAGGATAGGGGAGGTAGATTTGAGCTGTTGTTCGGTTGTCTGTCTCTCTATGATTCGGGGGCGAGATGGCCCAAGTGGTAAGAGCGCGAATTTACTGACCGGAAGGTCCGTGGTTCGAATCCGACCTCCGCCTCTCGAATTCCCCTGTCTAGGCTTGGGCAACCTGGCAGTATCCCAGCCCTCGTGCTTCCTTGGTGTAGCATAGCGGCTAGGCACTGGAAGGGTGCTACAGCTGAATGCTTTACTTTTCTCTCTATGATTTGGGGCAATGGTTTTGGGTCCTTTCTGTACCACGATGCGTTTTTACAACTGCAACGTTATCGGCGTAGCTCCATTGCTCCGGTTACTTCGTCACGTTCCCCGTTCGACGAAGTACATGGTTGTTTGAAGTTTCGGCCCACTTGATGACATGCGCACCTATGAGACTTTTATCAGTTTTTAAGTTCTATTTTTACATAGCCCCTATTTTCTTTGTATCGTTCAACTTCGTAGTTAGCATTTTCGTGAGGATGTTTCATACAACTCAGTGGAAATTACGGTAAACATTGTCGTACAACAGCCGTTTCCCTGGCTTTTCTGAATTTTCGGGATTGTTAGATTCACCAGGTTTGATTTAGTTCACTTGCCTGCTTTGAATACTATGGCTCAAGTGTGGTTAGTGAGCCCACTGAAGACGAACTCATCAACTTGATACATCTTTATCTGCTGGGAGGGACGAGACGGACCAAGTGGTTAGAGCGCGGATTTACTGACCGGAAGGTCCGTGGTTCGAACCCGACCTCTGCCTCTTGACTTCCACTATCTAGGCTTGGGCAACCTGGCAGTATCCCAGCCCTCGTGCCTCCTTCGTGTGTAATGGCAGCTTGGCACCAAAAGGGTGCTACACCTGAACGATTCTGGAAGGGCACTTTTCTTTCAAATTTCCAACATGGAGTGGAGAATGTCATCTCGAAATAGTCCATCAGCTTTACCCCTCCTTCGTATGGCAGCTTGGCACCAAAAGGGTGCTACACCTGAACGATTCTGGAAGGGCACTTTTCTTTCAAATTTCCAACATGGAGTGGAGAATGTCATCTCGAAATAGTCCATCAGCTTTACCGATGTCAAAGACTCTTTTTGACGGATCAGCTGATAGGAATTCTTGAAAAACTATTCCAATTACTTTGTGCTATCAATGCCTAATTTTCCAGTGCATTATTTATATGTTTCCTCTGTTGTGGCACCAAGTTTCATCTTTCTAGGACGAAACACTTCAGTACATGCAAAAACATCATAAGATGTCACTACTAGGTTACTAGCCTCATGCTCTTGTGTGAACGGGGATCGGGATTTGAGTTATTCAGATCTTACGTCCATCGGATGCGGTTGCGCTCCTGTTACTTAAATATACCCAAATGCATATGGCCGTGCACAATCTTAATGCAACCCGAGGGTAGGGAAGTTTTATTGATGCACAAATGTGCAGAAGTGTTTCGGGAGGGGAGAGTCCAATTAAGGAGGATAGCACGTCGGAAAATGTTCAGCATGTGCGCAGCTGTGAGGAAACCGTGCATCCAAGCGATTAGATTCGTGGTTGCTGTTTTCAGACAACGACTTATTGAACACTATCATACAAATGGAGGAAACAGTAGACAGCGTACAGAGTATGGTTTCATTGGTTTGTCGGGACAACTGTGGAGCAAATCATTCAGTGACTTTGAACGGAGGAAGTGCTTTGCTGTTTGTCATTTCCGATATGAGATAACTTATGGTAGGTACACAGCACTTATTTTTTAATGTTTCACACTGAGATCTGTTGATCGACCCGTGCACATTGGGGATTGATTTTGTCATCAATGTGTCACGAAATCTGGCGCAAAGTAAAGAGTGCTAGGTCACGGATGTGTACAAGCCGGTGGTCCACGGTTGTTTCTAATGTCCGTTGACTCTATGTAGTTCCTACAGTGTAGGAAACACGTTTTTGGGTGGTGACAAGTGTCACACTGAGACACACGGAAGCTGCGTGAAAATTGCCAATCGACTTTGAAAGTCCTAAAACTTGAGTTCGCTCATGACACCGGATTTAGAATTGAATTTCCGGAAGGCATCTTAATGTGTTCATCTTCTGTGAAAACCACTCAACCGTGTTTTATTCAGACCTCAATGAATAGCTAGTTGGGTTTCAAAATCTCCAATTACCATTGATTGTTGGAGCTTTTCATAAAACCCCTGTTCTTCATAAAATTTTCCTCCAAACTCTAAGATGAATGCTGCGTTCCGTTATCCTTTCTTATACGTATACACTATACTACTTTACTATACTCTGAAAAATGTTGAAGGATTGCCCTGCAAAATACTTGTTTCAAGCGAAAAGAGACGATCACGTAAATAGGTGTTCTCCCCAAGGTAGATCATGGTTAGGGTGGTATGATATATGAAAAAGGTATCTTTTGGCACTGTCGCTTCCGACGTTCCATGCAGTGCGATACTTTTTTGTTTTTTGCCCGTATTTATAAGTATTCGTGAAATACATTTTGAAGACTGGTAGCAGTATTCTCTGGGTCAGCCCAACGTCTGTTGACCGCACAGTCTGAATGCCAAATCGTTGACTTGGTATCCATATACTGATTCGTCTATTTAAACAACGTTTAGCTCAAGGGTTGTGGGACAGAAAACACTAAAACAGCACCGGACGAGGCAACATAATGTTGAAAAAAAATTGGTGCGGCTGAAATTTGAAATCTTCGGTTGCCAGTAGTGTCGAAAATGCTGTTTCACTGGAATACACAGATGTAATTCGGAAGAAAACTCGCCACTGATTGAAGAATCAATTTGCTCGTTCGGGGATCTGTCACATACTTAATAAGTAGCCTGTGGACTAAAGTATGAGCTACTGAACGAAACATTTGTAACCGTCTAAGTATAAACGGTCTGTCAGTGTCCCAGATATTATGCTTTTAAGGTATCTTTCCACCTTTTCGCGAACTGAGCACTTCGTTTGAAGTTCATGATGGATGTCAGCGTCGCTCAGTAAAGTCTAACGGAGCGCCAAGAAATGCTCGGCCCTTCTCACAGTGTCATAGTCTGTGGACCTCAGTATCTGTATCCTCACTACTGAGAACGTATACGATTCACGCATTCTTTTCGACGTGGATTTATTGATTAATTATATTTAGGTCCCAGACGCTGGCATCACGTATCCTAATAAGGTAGACTTCTCTGTCGTTGCATGCTGACCGTCTCTGTCTCTCGGTTTGGCATCTGCGCTAAAGGTTTTGGTTGAGTGCCCATAGCATCTTCCTGTCTACGCTTGTTAAGAGGTAAATATATTGTGCTGTAATCGGGGAAGTATAATCGTCCATAGCACCACTCGATCTTGGGTGTCATCTTTTCACTCACCCAACATCGACGTACGGAGTAAAGTAACTGTCCGCTCTGCCGTTGCTCGCGACTTTACATTTTCTCGGTGCGAACGTTATATTTTGAACGCAAACTTGGTTCGTCATCCCTTATCCTCCTTTGCCCCTTGTTTACGAGACACCTACATGGTTTCCGACCAGTAAACCAGAAGAATCGAGGTGCGCCGTAATCAGGATAGGGAACGGTTGTCAGTCAGTTACAAATAATGTACCGGGGGTATTGGTTCCAGCTACTGCAGTTTTGGTCATCAGAAAATAAGAGAGGGGAGGAGATAAAGCCAAGCATTGAAGGTTATCGCATAGTCAGTTGGTTGTTGTTGTTGAATTAGTCCACCTATTTGAATGAACACGAAGCGCGGGAGCTACTCATTGTAGCCGATGGTTTTGATACAGAAACACCACTGACTGAGTGCTTGAGCCGTGTCTTCCGGCGTCATAGGCCATGAGGTTTTTCATAATACTGCAGTAGGAAAGAGACTGGAACGCAACCCGTACAAACCACTGTCGTATTTTAGCCACATAATGTAGCCCTCATCTCAGCTGCCGTTTGTGGTTGCGAAACCTAAAGCTATCATGGTGGTCGGGCTTCAGTGTTGTAATGATCCTGCGTGTTATACTGACTAGAACAAGGTTCAACCACGCCAGCAAGGATAACGGTGAGCAGCCCGACAAAGAACAACGAGCCCCGGCACTGCGAAAAGTCTTATTACAAGGCGGTCTGGAAGTAAAGTCGTATTGCCCTCTGCGATAGGTGTGAAGGCAGTAGGGCGTCCAGCATATCCGTACTGATGATAGCAGGGATGCTACTTTCGTTCGAGTAAGGACGAGTTAGAAAAGTTTGGCTCTAAAATCCTCACAATCCGATCGCCAAACGGTTAACCGTGACCGCCTGCGCATTACTCAATACGGTCGAAATACTTTTAACACCCATGAGTCTGGGGCTGCTCAAAAGGCACCTGCAGTGCACAGCCGCATTAAGAGTGAGAAAGTAATGCCTTGCTACCAGAGTCGTCGGGCTATTCAAGACCCTTTAACCAGGTGGGTCGGACTATTGAGTCAATTGCTCCAGGAAGGATCCCTCAAGAAAACCCTAATAACTGCTACTTCGTGCTGCCCCTTGACAGCTGTTGAACAACAAGACGTTTGGCAACGACCGACTTATAAGCAATGTGACTCACCCGAACTTAGACAGGATATGGTATTACTCATCCTACAGTCAAGGAAATCACATCATCTGGTCACGTGCTCGCAGGCTTCCGGAGTGATGACTTTTCGGAGCAACTGCTCGTGGCCGAACGGTACAACCACCAGCTGGGCGGTTGTGGGTTGCAATCTCTCTGGAGGTTCGTAAGATATGGACTGCTTGTTACTCACAATAAGGATGAAACAGCCATGCAGCGCTTCTTGTCTTTTTAGCACAGACTGACTTCACTAGGATGACGCAGTACTTTCATGCCTCCACTAAACTGTTTTTACCTTTGGTCCCGATCTTTGTATGAATGGATAGTTTCAATTCGATAACTGATTGAAACAGCAGTACGCGCACGTGTCCGAACTGTCACGTGAAGGCCAACCCACGCTCACAAACTTTCCTGTTGTCAGCATTCGTTCTGTAGGTATCTTTATTTCCTGATTCCTCTCAATTGTGGCTAGCTAGCCAGACACGATAGCCTCTAATATACTCAGTTTCATCGTGTGCAGTACAGTACGAAAGGCGAACCGTGTATGTTGCCCGCATTCGTGCAATAGCAGATTCTTTCTTGAGGTAGGTAGCTGAATTTGCGGAAACTAAGTGGAAAGACACGCGATACTGTTTAGATAAGTTAAAATTACTGAATGCTTTTGATTACACGAAAGTGAAAACTACTTCAGACGAGTACAGGGAGACAGTGTCGCATTGGTTTTACTATCCGAATGTGTTTGCCGTCAAAACTTTTCCGTCCAGAAGAGATTAACTTTGTGACTGATACCTCACCTTAACTGAGGCACAGCTGTTAATGATACCAATGATAGTGATAATACTCCTGTTACTACCATTATTGTGAAGCAAGTGAGTAACGCTCCGTAACATTTTACTCCATGAGATTAATTATTCAATTCAGCTTTATGAGTTCACAATAGAGTTGTGACCTATCCATTGTTCATCTGTTTGGAAGATTCATTGTTTTGATGCTTTTTTTCATGGTGTTTTTGGTGTAGGATAACTTTCCATTGTTAGCACAGGTGTTGTAGGCACTGGGATCTTCAGTTCTCGATCCCACTGGCTTCTCAGGTCCCGGAGCTCAGGTCCATTAATTTTAGCTTCATAAGAAGCACAGTTATTCACATTCGTGCGTCAATCGCCCGCTAAAGGGACAGTTTTTCCTGACTTGGTCCAACTTCTGTGTAACTAGTTTGGGCTGCGGAATAATCAGCTAGAAGACGCAACTATCGGTTGGCTTTTGTCCCCCGACTAAATTCGAATGGCGTTTATTCCCAAACTTACATAGTTCAACTGGCATTCGTCTGGGTCAGCAGCACCCACTTTACTAGATGGAGCAAAACTAAGGTGTTGAGTTATCCAGCGAGTGGATAGCACTCTTAAGACAGTGTCCACTCACTCAAATATGATGATGCCAAACGCTTCACCACTTCCAGCCCAAGCGGAAAGAGGTATGACGGCTTTTAGTGCTAGTGGTCGGATGATTGCCTAACGGTCTAACATTTATCAGACGTATCCGTTGGCTTGTACCAGCCTGAGAAGTACCAAGATTAGAATACTCTTGACACGTCATTGAGAACATGTTGCGCAATAGGGTTTTCCTACATCATGACATTTTCTAAATGAAATAAATCCTGCAAGTCAAGGCTTATTTGAATGGAGACCAGCAAATCATCAATCATGTTGCCTATACACCAGTTAGAGACAATAGCTCTTTCGATTGAACTCAGTGTGAAACACTCAGTTAAGAAAACATATTTGCATGTCATTTAAAAGCTAATGAGAAAATATTCCTCTGATGGAAGAATGACTGACAATCGAATGATACCGTACTTGCACCTTTGAGTGAATATTTATGGTATGTATCCATATGCAACAGTATGGGAATACACTGGGAGTTCCGAGTGGCGTTCGGTCTACATAGATTCCGTCGTTTATCAAACTTTTCCCTATTGAATTAACGCCATTATCTGGACAGACCAGGCAGCTACTTACTCCAAACTACCAACATATTCGTAAAGGACTTGGTCTACACTCAGTTCTTACGAAAACCCGGTTGAAAGCACACGGAAGGGAATTGAAAAATAAGTGCGACTCACTTGGAACAGATTCATCAGTAAGATAGAATTCTCCTGCTTGTTTCAAAAGAACAACGTGAAACTGATTACCCATCGTTTGAGGCACTGTGCCTGAGTATAATTCAAACTCATTCACGCGACCGACTGGAACCAACCTCAAAATTCGAACATTTTCTAGAGTGATACGAAGTACGGAACTTAGTCCCACACTACACCCGTTACACAGGCGGGTGACAAACTTGAATCCCAGATATCTGCAGATAGAATACAGTCCGAAACGGCCGGGTGCACAAGGTTTGTTTTATCATAGGCCTTGTAAAGTACTGTCGTTCTTCTATGTTCGAATACCGATACCCTGGTTTCCTCCTTGATATGACCTTCATTTGTTTCAGTACCTGACCGATGCATTCCGTCCGTACGATCACAACAGGAACGGTTGGGCTGAAATGAACTTCGAACAATTTCTTATGGCTGCACTGTCCATCATTGTGTGAATTACTGGCACTGTTTAACCGCGATTCCCCCAGCAATGGGTTTCTGGCTGAGTGTGCTGGCTTACTCTGACGGAGTCTTTTCACTCCACCCAATTATCTTGACTCCATACAACATGCGGTTAGCTTTCGTGATAAACATTTTGACTTGGCTGTTTGTATTTTTCTTCATCCATCATCCTTATCATTCACATGTACAGTGATTTTGATTGATTTCCTTCACATGTTTGTTTCAATAAGAAATGTTGCAAACTTTGGGTCTTTTGGTTTCCCACAGTTTTGAACTTGCTTATCTGAGTAGCCTTCATGAATGACGCTTACTAACCGCGTAGATTTTGCCTCGTTTTCTCGCGATCACCTAGGCCACAAGAAACTGTAGTCGGATACCTTCGGTGGATGTTTCCACTGAACTCTTTGCTCTCCAGAAAACGTTGCATTGTGGGAACCGATAGGATTTCCAACCGAAATTGGGCGTTGTTCAGAGACGTTGAGACGAATAGTAAAACACACTACGGGGCAATATCATTTTACCTCTCCCACTGTGAAACTTCCGGATCGTATACCATAGAGTTTTCGGGCGAACAGCCACCTGGAGCCATATCACTCTCGCGGAAACCGGGTTAGCCGGTTCATCAGTAATGAACGTGGGGCTGGCTAGCGGAAACTGATGCTCTGTCCTGAATGACAGACTGTATTTTTGTTGTTTTGCCATTTAACTGGACAACATTCGAATCTTCCAAATCTACCCGGTGTCCCCTTCGCCTGCCTGGCAATTAACCAAGTTGACACACGATTCGAGACCTCGCATTTCGCAGACATCGCTGCGCAAGTTTTAAAGACTAACAGTTTTGGATTTTCAGCCATGCTCTTTGATGGACACCTATCTGTTCTGCCAGCCTACGTGTCTGCATTCACTCAAGGTCTAATCGGTTGCAAGGATGACAGAAACATTCCTCAGATGGTCGGATGGAATCGGGCGCAGATGTGAGGCATGGTGCACATTTGTTCGGGCGACACCGTAATGCCACTTAGTATCTCTATCCAATCCGTCACTATTGAACTGCAAAGCGACCATTTATGGGTTTTCGAATTGTAGACCTCTGAAGACTAATGGCCTGTTAAAATTAATCGAAATGAGACGAATAGTCGCCGAACAATGAAGCTTGTGCCGAAATTTTTTATTCTTTAACACTGATTGTTCTAGGCCGCCTTGATATCACATGGCACTCCGTCGCACACGTTCATTTTACGGTTTTTGTGCGTGGGCTGTTCGCAATTCAGCGCGGATGACAATCCTGTGTTCTCCATCGTGGATGAGTCGTTCTCTATCTCCATTTAGCTGAGCGTCCGTTAAACATGCTTATACACGAAACGTTGCGCTGTGATAAGACAATACGACGGTAGTCAGTATAGGTAGGTAGTATAGGTAGTGTCTGCGTACGAGAAGTATGGAAATTCTGGAAGGGGCCGTAGCTCACTGTTCTGTTCAGTCTACTCAACCTTCACGGCTTCTTCACTGATGTACTGAACATTGTTTTTCCATAGCCAATGTGAACCTTCAGCACAGATGCTCACACTGACTTACTTGGAAGCCAGTCCCGGATTCAGTTGACTTATGTCGCCATCAGTTACCGACGGTGCACCATAATTAAGGATTACCATTCCTTCTTGGGAACGCAGCTTGACTCCGGCAATGCCATTGGGTGGGCTCAGGTGTCAGTTGGTTTTCCCCAAAATTATGCATGTCAGGGCGGAACAACTATGTTTACCATCTTTTTCGAGTTTCTGTAGCTCGACACTATCGAATGTATCTGGCTGGTAAGCTATTGGGGATGCACAGCTGTGCTGACGACAAAGACTGTCTTGGAAGATGAATGGAAGAGAGTAGAAGAAGCCATGATGTCAGCCTTCAGGACTGTCTGTTCAAGCTATTCGTCTTTGTGAAAGAAACGATGAGTGTCGTCAAAATCAGCATATGTGACTGCTGCCACATAAGCGATCCCACCAACAGGGAACCAGGATTGCGCACGCGTCTCATGAATGACAGAACGTTCGTGGATTTCGAAGAGGCTTTCGCTTCAATCAAAAGTTGTGCCACACTTCAGATGATTCGATCAACCGTCCAAAAAGTTCAGGTATCAGCGAAACAACGTTTGAAAAAACTTAGCAACCTTGACGGTTGATATTTACTAATGACGTGAATTTTGTCTCACGCCCACGCACATGAAGAAAATGTATTTCGATTAGTTTAATGCATGTTTCTAATCTTACTTCCGCTCTTACTAAGTAGTTCTGCAGTATTCGAACTATCAAAGTTCCACGCAAAACTAAACTAGTTTTGGCCGTCGCGGTGGCAGGCTTAGGAAACCATGTCAATGCATTTGGACGTTTCTGATTTCTTGAACTATGGAACATTTAATTTGCGGGTCACATACTAGGAAGCGTGGGTAACATGGTTAAACTGACAGACAATGTTGCACATGGTACTGACCGGTGAACACTATCAAGTTGACCATGTGACAGCACACTGTAAATATCGTATAGATATATCGGGTGATCCGTTTTCCCCGGTTGCCTGGAAAATACAATGTTTGCAACCAGCTCTACTACAGCTTTATGAGAGCATTTTGTGTAGCCGGGCTCAATTCCGGTAACACTTTGTGGATGTCCGTTGCTTAATGAATCGTTTTTTTGTCTTAAACAACCCGCCACCAGATGCGATCACTTTAGTGCATGTTTCGAGCTACAGCTGTTGGAAGATGAGTCTGCCTGGTGTGTAGATGTTCTCCATCGTCACGGGGGAAAATTTCGTTTTCTGGACTCTAATAATGTTGTAGATGAGCGTCGGCTGAAACGTTGATATGTGATTCATAACATTTTTATGAGGAGACAAGGTTTTTGTCCTTATCATCCTCGAATCCACATAGAAGATGTGGTCCCTCCCAAACTTCCGGGCTTATACTAGCACCAGTAATTACACTATGGTGTCCACCGAGTGAGTACTACAGGACTTGGGCTATGGTTTAGCGTACCAGTCATCTGTCGCAGAAGTCCTTGAAGAGGCTCTAGCTAAAATAATCGCCCCAATTCCCTTAAGTCTCCCTCCAAATTTGACCTAATCTGGGTAGGTTGGTGACATCCCGAGACTGGGGAGTCTCCCGTCACTTGATCGGCAACAGAAAGCCACGAGAATAGCATCCAGAGGAAACAACGGTAGCATTCTCAGGGCTTGATCAAACGCGCATCGTGGTCACGATGACACGCTCGTCCTCAGAAATGACCACATAATGTGTCATTTTTGGTGGAAACGCAAGTCTGTTGATTTGCGTCTAAAGGATTTATCTGCTATGCTCCTCGTCGCTCACACAGCGATTTGGTGTATTTTGGCGGAAAACGAGGACAGCGCATCTTACAAGCTGGCCAGAAGATGGACCTGAAAGAACCGATCATTCATTGTCACCGCCACTATGATGCCCGTATACTGAAAATGGAACCCAACCGACTCCCAGCCTTTCTGAGTTAAAGTTCATCACAATGCATGCATTTATCAGGTCGTTTAGAAGCGGGAGGAGCAGTAGTACGCAGTAGTTTACTCAAAGTAGTTGGTAATGTGTTGAAATATTGGTAGCCCGGGTGAGTTTATTGGTTGTTGATCAGGTGGCTGTTGATCTGTTCGCCGAGCTTGGCAATTGGCTTGAAAACGTTTCGTCACCATATTAGGAGACATCATCAGCGCGCAGTTGGGTGGGTACTTCTTCCTTGTCTGCGTGCGTTTATATACCATTCGAAGGCGAACGCAGGGACGCCAAATCGCCACGGTGGAGGAAATGGGGCAGTAAAAGCAACCAATCAAACTGGAGAACGTCAAACCACAACGCAATGCAAATCAAGAGAGCGGGCTACTAAAAATAGAAGGCGTTGGGATAACCTGTCAACACAAAGGAACGCAGACCACGACCCAACAAAGATCACAAAAGGGCCAATAGATTCACTAAATTCGTAACACTTCAAGTAGTCAATCGCGTCAGAAAATAACAGATAACCTTCGAATGTTATATAAACGTACACAGACAAGGAAGAAGTACCCACCCAACTGCGTACTGGCGTCTGATGTCTCTTCGTATGGTGGCGAAACGTTTGGAAGCCAATTGCCAAGCTCGGCGAACAGATCAACAGCTACCTGATCAACACAACAACCAATACTTAAACTTACTCTACTCCAACAGGATGCCCCCCGTAAACAGATCACCTTATTTAACTTCTGCATGAAGTTTGTTATTCGACTGATGTGTAAACCACTCAGACTCTAATGGCATCCATCGACCCTTTTACTTCCCAGCAAGACAAATTCCTGACAGAAACAATACTACATTAACACGAATTCTTATAGCGACTGATTTGTGCTTGGTCGGTGTAAGATAATCAATTCAGCACACTGACATAGGCTTAGTAGCTGTCCCTCACATGCACTGTTCACGTTGAGTGAAATGGACCCGGCAGTTGAAATCAACACTAGCAGATATGATCATATGACTTGTAGTTACCCGTGTAGTGTACCGATGAATAATCAACACTCTTGACTTGGCGTTGGAAATACGTCAACGCTTTGATGAGTTACGCTGCTGGATGCTCACTCACTTGTGTAGTTGTCAGTGCGAAAGTTGTACACAAACGAACCACTTTTGTTGGACTTTGTGCATACTATTATTGTGTTCAGGGGTTTCAGGCGCAGTTCATTGACAATAATGGCATGTGTTAAATTTCGATATCATCACAGTATCTTCCCACTGCACTTGAACTATTAAGGTCCTCAGCCCATTGTGTAGTGGTATGAATAAACTCAGAAAACAAAATGAGTCAAACTAGAGAAGCTTGCTCACTCAAACAATTTGCTAACGGATAGAGCAATCTTATATGTCCATAAAACAATGTAAGTCTGTGAACGTTCCACAGACTGAGACCATAGTCAGGAGAGTCCATAGGTTGTACGTCAAAACATAAACCGTCTTCGAAAGCCAGTATCTCTTTCTAATTGCGCTCTGTATAACTGCAACCCACAGAGTTGAATTGCTGTGTCACAGAAGCACTGGTGGAACGGGTAGTGTTATCCGTAGCAAGCGATATAGATATGCTCCGACTGAAAACGTCTGTGAGGTGTGGATGGTGAATCCAACGTCACAAACGAACCTTAGTTGTTGCTGGCATTAGGTTGGATGAAGATTTTGGCTGAATAGAACGGCGTTTCTCTTGGTGGAGAAACGTTTGGATTGATGTTTGGACACCAGCAA